CACACAGAGTACAGCCAGAGTAAGTAGGTAAGCACACAGGAGAGAAGATAAGACAATCTATCCCCCCTTCTCCAGCTTGTTCAGCTATAGTTAATGAATGTTTTTAGAATGGGGAGACTAGAATTTTGCAAAAACAATCCCTACCTACAAAGGTCTTCTTTGTATCCCAGTGTGTCCCAAATGCAAAGTTAGAGGCACCTCTGGGAATTTTGGGGTGCCTTTTCCAGATCATGTCTCTTACCAAGAGTATAGATCTCTTCAATTATACACGAACTATAGAACTAATTAAAAATCCCTGGCAATTCCTTTTTTTGGCAGATTAGCCAACATGTGTCACTTCACAATACCCCCAGAAGTCCTTTCCAGTCTGCTTTGACTATACAGTCAAATGAAATGCTACTTCACTTAACCTATGCTTTCCCTAAGGGCATAGCTTCATCCATCTTAGATTAAAACAGTCTATGAGTAGGCTTGTCTTTCCAGCCAGACTGAAAGTGCCACAGGACCAGAATCTAAGCCCAAATTAATCTTACATCTCATCTAGTGTTTAGCACACAATAAGCAGTCATTATTCACTTGTTAATTCAAATTATTAGCCAACTCTTTGCTGTGTTCTGAGATGCTGTGACTCAGAGATGAAAGTATTTCCCACCTCTAGAAGTCAGCTACACTATTAAGAAAAATAGAAACATAGAGTGCAATTGCAAATAAGTTATGTAATAGCAGTGTCACAATATAATATAAACCTGAACATATTGTATGATCTCAGTTATTTAAAAAAAAATCTGCATGAAAAGAAAACCAGAATATAAAATGCCAAAATATTGAGAGTTGTTATTTCAGGGCTTTGGGGGTTATGGTAGTGTTTATTTTCATGTGAAAATGTTTCTATAATTTCCAGATTTTCTAGGACAAACACATATTGCCTTTGCAGTAAGATGAAAATGCATAAAAAATGTAATCACCATAATGTTAGTAGGGAAGTGTGTGAGAACCTAGAGAACTAGAAATTGTTCAGAATTATTAGTGAGGGAGCTGGTAGAGAAACGTTGAATATCAGGAAATATGGTGAAATGATTAGAATTTTCTTTACCTGGACCAAAGAGATAATTTTTAAATTGTTGAGCTGTTTAAAGAAAATCCACTTAATAGTCTATTAAAATAATTTTATGAGAAACTCACCCTCCCTAGCCAGATCTTATGAAACCAGAACAAGGTAGAATGTCTTATCAAATTGCTTTGCAGAATGGGTCTCCTAAGGTGTTGCAGCTACCTTACCTGAAAACATATCTGTACTGGGGAGCAACTGGCTATCGCTATGATGTCTCCATTAATCTACCTTAAATGCATGTTTGCCAATTGTCTGTCCACCCCCCGCCCCCTCCTCCCGGCAGGGTCAGATACCCTTTACTAGGCAGGCCGGGCAAACCACCACAAACTCAGGGTCCCTATAGATGGTAAGTCATGAGGCTCCTATTAACATAGCTTTCTCGCCTCATTTCTAGGGTGGAAAAATCCTTTTAACCTTTCAGTCCAAACAAATAAAGTATACATTCTTTTGCTGGTAGGAAAAATAGATTAAATAGGATAGAGAGAACCCCTTCCCTACTTCTCTACTGAAAATATTTAAATTTCCTTGATCTTAAAATAGTGATGTATATGTAGTAATTTTACCTAAGTTTGCCAATTAGGAAACACTTGGTCAAAATCAGATATTATGCTTTAGAAACAAATGATTTCTTTCCCATTACAATCATAGTAACTAAGTGTGATATAAAGAAAAGTAGAAAAGTTAGGGCTCAAAGCCTGAAATTGTATAGTCATTGTATATGCCTCGCTCAATGATATTTTTAATACAAATGTACCTGTGTTACTACCACCCAGCTCCATATTGACATTGTGGGGTCTCTCGTGTAGAGAGCTAAGTCACTTTGATACATTTTTCTGAAAAGTATTAACTTCCAATAAAAAGTTAAAAGCACACTTATCTTGTATATTTAGTTGTGTGGGTAATTTGCAGTTAACTGAAGTCTTTGAATGGCTTATGTCTTGAACTGAATACTCTGAGGTTTATCAAGGAGTTATTAAGACCAATCGCTCCTTCAAGAATGCAATTTCATATTTAGTCTCCAGATGTCACTGTCTGCATTATTTATTTCAGCCCACTGGATGGGGGTGGGGCAGAGAATGAACAGGACTTGTCAATATCAGCTTCCTGAATTGACAGAACTCCAGTAGTTTTTGTCCTATCAGCTGGCTTAACATTTTCTTGCTTTCTTTTCCAGTAAAGCCATAATAACCCAGACTATTATTAGAGTGAAAATTCCTCTTTTATACTTAAGTCAATGGGCAACAAATCTTTTGACTTTAATAACTTGGGCCTGACAGCATGATGGGGAAATTATATGTGACCATTATTGCATCATGGTTCTCATTCACATGGCTTTTCACATTCACATTTTCTACACCGAAAAGGAAAAAATACCTCGAATGCATGCTGCCCAATGACTCAACATGCAGAAGTTTGGGGGGAGACTTGTGATAGATTCGTTTTTAAGACTCTTTAAGAAATGAAATCTCAATTCTCCATATCCTGGGGTCTTTGCTTTCTTGATAAGTGTCAGAGAGAGAATTCTGTCATAGAGAACTGTAGAAAGTACATTTTCAACTTGAATCGGAGAGATTTCTTAACTATTATTGACTTGAGTGATTTATCCTTGCTATTTAGGGAGAATATATGTGAGAAATAGCTTTAATTTTTTACTGGCATGTAGCATTTTGGATTATAAATTGTGCGACCCTTTTTAATGATGAGTCTATGTCCCAGGTAGTATGTGGGGTAATCTACTATATTTATTTATTTATTTTTATTTATTTATTTTTCCAATGTGGTAGTCCACATGAGACATAGCAATAGCTTCAAATATCTGCATGCAAAGGCCTAGCATCAGGTAACCTTTCATATCCAGACTAGCTCTTTGCTATGTCCTTATATAGAAATAGCTCAGACTCATTGTCCATAATTTACTTAGGCAGAGCCTGGAGCAGTTATTTTCCCTTTTATGAGAAAATAGATGAAACTTGCCTAAGAGTCTCCATGTCACCTAATGAGCCTGAATATCCAAAGGATCTCATTCCCACATACCAAAATGCCATTGTTTGAAAAAACGAAAATAATTCACACTTTGACCATTACTATCTTCATGCCTGAAAGAAAACTATGCCCAAATAAAATTTCAAAGACAAGAACCTGAAGGGGCCACAATCAAAAGATGGAGGGAGGGATACGATCATGTACAGGACGGGCATGGTGGACAAGAAGAGGATGAGCAAGAGCATGCCCAGGTAGAAATTATTCGATCTGGAAGCTTTGAAGACTCTGGCCTCAGGAACGTTGCAACACATCACGGCCCAGCACTGGAAGTACATGGATGTGTGGAGTCGAAGGATATTGATGCCTGGGAGGCTGGGAGCAAAGAAAGAGCCCATCCTAGAAAGGAAAACAGAATTCTGTTCAATTGGAGTCTTCACTCCATAACAAGGTTACACAGCACCTGTTTATTTCACATCCTGCTTATTTGCCAAAGGCAGAAAACATATTGCCACTTTCAACCGTACAAACCCTTTTTATAAACAAATTGGCTAAGCTATTTCCATCTTCTGTACCCATTTTACCATTTCCCTCATTATTGTGGGTATTGTATACATAATTCCATCATAGAAAGATGCAGATCACCAATCATCTGCTATCATTAGCAAATTTAAACTACAACAGAGTAAACAATATACATATTACATTTGTTTTTCTTGTTTTCTACTTCTAAAATAAATCTAATTTCCTCTAATACTCATATCGATTCATACATACAAAAAATAACTTTTATATAATTGACCCTTAAAACGACATATTCTGTTAAAATAAACTGTACATTTGGATTAATTACTTTTGTCATGGCTAATTAATTTTTGTTTAATAAAAGAGAAAAATTAAAATGGTTTTCTTTTTCTGAAGTATTTTCTACTTATGACTGTTATAATGTTCAGAGCTGATGGGAATGATGTATTTATGTCTAATAATATTTTGTTGCTATCCTAGAAAAAGCTTTATATGGTTTCAAGATGAAAATTCAACACTTCCATTTAATTTAGTTTATCTGTTTACTTTATTACTTTTGTTTGCCCTGGAAACCCACTGCAATGTATATCTGATTTTTTAAACATATTTTAAAATACCACTTTAAAATAGGAACCATGTAGGTAAGGTCACTTTTATTTGATGGATTTATTGGTTATATCAACAAAATAAACTTTAATTTTTATTTGATGAAAAAATCCATTAGCACCACAAAACTATATTAATGACAATTAATTAATCTAAAACCAAAAAGAGGTTTTAGAAGTTATTTTAGAAGTTTAAGTAGATCATACCTTTTTGACTGTTCAAATTATAATAAAGCCCTCAGCATTCCTAGTTAGGTTTACCATTTTATATTTCCTGGATATGTAAAATTGTTGTTTTAACCAATCCAGTGTAAATTTGGTTTATTATTGTGGGTGGGGGAGTTAAGTTAAAGAAATTAGTGTCTACTATAATTCAACTTGTGCAACCCAACATTATAATATTTTATTGAAAAATAGAATCTCATCACAATTTGGGTTATCTTATTGATAAGAGTCCACACAACAGATCTGAATGATATTTTTACATCCTGAGTTGACCAGAGACTTTGTGGAAAGTTAAATTATTTTTTAAAATGGCATGAACTAATCATGCTAAGCTAGATAAGCCATATAGAAAAAGTTGAAAATCACATGATATCACTTATATATGGGATATAAACCTAAAAGCAACAAATGAACAGGACAAACAAACAGAGACTCAGAATACGCTTATATAGTCATATAGTATCTCTGAAAGAATTCCCAAGAAACAGGTTAAGATTGGGAGGCAGACTCGCCTTTCACTATATGCCTTTCTAGACCTTTCCAATTATCATAAAAAATAATAATAATAAAATTAAATAAATAAATAAATAAATAAATAAATAAATAAATAAATAAATAGATGGTATGAACTTTGGGTGATAATGCCGTGTTCATGTAGGTTAATAAGCTGCAACAAATGCACCACTGTGGTGAGCAATGACGATAGTGGGGAAGCTGTGCATGTGGGAGCAGGTGATATGTGCGAGCTGTCTACTTTCCACTCAGTTTTTCTGTGAACCTAAAATTTACTTAAGATATAAACTTTACTAATTTTTTTAATAAGAGGATAGACTTTGGAACAACACGGGGTATCCTGGTTACAAGATAGCATGAAAGAACCTGGAACTCCCAAAACCTGAGCAAGCGACTGAGCGACAGTCCCAGCTGAGTGGTCAGAATAACAAAGCACTAAATTATATCTCCAAAGGCCAATATTTGGAATGCAATGCTTTTAGATAATGATGCTTTTCCTCTTCTAAAAGTCAGGGTTGTCCATGTGATTTGTTCTGGCCAGTAAATTAGAAATAAAAATGAGGTGTCTCACTGCTGGGTAGAAATTTTAAGAACACTGTGTACTATTTTGTTCTCCTCTCTCTCTGCTACCCTGACCAGCAGTGTTCCAGGTGGATCTGATTCTGTCTTTCTAAACCTCCACAGTGAGGGTAACTTATAAGGGCAGAGCCTTCTACCAATCCACATTAGACTTGTAGTGTGAACAAGAAATAAACTTTTCCTTTTGTAAGCCACCAAGATTTTAGTATTTCATTGCTGGACAACCTAGGCTATCCTAAGACATAATTTTGTACATAATTCAAGACCAAGACTTGCCTAAAGTCACATGCGTACCTATACATATACGTGCATTGTTTGTATGTATGCATATATATGTGCACACACATTATTTGTACATGCATTGGTAAATAAATAAATTTCAAATTTTCCAAATAAATATCACATAGGCATTTTGAACAAATGACACAAGAGCCATAACCTGAAAAACAGGGCCTGGCAGCACAGCAACATGTAAACCTTAATGCTCATCCTACCTTTGTTCATGACTCACTCACAAATCAGCTTGGCCCACTAAGCCCCTTACCCAGACTTGATGCTGTCATCTGCCAGAAAAATATCATTGTAATACCTTAGCCTGATAAACTGCTTTCCTCCCAAGAAGATCAAAGCAAGTGAGAGCTTCCTTTATTTAGCTCTTCTTATCACTCCAGTGACATTGTATATGTCAGGTAAATTATTCATACTTGATCAACTGAGAAAATGAGGTAGCAAAAGGTGACAAGACCAGTGGGACGGCATACAATGAGACAGCATTGGAGCAATGTCTAAACCCATCTTCCCTCTCACTGTGTATTCTCTGCTGCCTCTACATCCTGTTATGACAGAGATAATTTGTGTTTTCGTCAATTAGATATGATTTCGAAAAACCTATGCTATTTAAAAAATAAATGTTTGACAAAGGTTTACTGATCATTTCAGCCAATTCATAACAAAATGGATTTTACCTATAAATATTTGATTTTAATAACATCAGTGTAAATAACCTCCACTACTTAAAACCTCCCAAAGTTGTAATTGAATGTCTCCAGTCACAAACCAATGGAATTTGATAAAAAATCCCCATGCTCTTTTGATTATTTCTGTAGAAAATGGCCAAACTCAGTTATCAGATCCTCATGCCTCATCAAACAGTAGATTACCATGTGTGAGTGCCCTTGTGCAAGAGAGCCTACTACACACTCCACACCCCTGCACCTGGCACACCACATCCTCCCTCACCAACTTCCTGGGAACTAGGAAAAGAATATTTGTACAAAGGGTTGGTCTGAAGGTGAATAATAGTTCTTTTGTTTCTGGAACTCTGGAAAATGTGTGACTGCCTTTGTATACTCAAAAAGCACAATCGCTTAGTAACGTCCTCTTCATACTAATCAGAAATGAGACTTGACTCATATCTGAAGGAATAATACATAGAAAGTGATAGTGCAGTGATACTGCAGAGATCTTGATAATGGATCTGCCCATGAGAAAACTGGAGAACATTTTTTAGATTTTTAAGAGCGTTAATATGAATAATAGTGATATGTAGAAAGAGCTGTAAAATTATAGGACTGCCATTACAACCCCTTTTCTGATAATGAAAATGAATTTCTAGGATGATCTGTTGCCTTAAATCTGAAAGAATAAGAAAGAGAGATGCAACATATGTCTGCACAAATGGTACCCTCCAGGCCTGAGGGATTTATGGCACTCTGTAAGAGCCAGGGAGTTTTAAAACTAATATAGCACAGTGGTCTCTCATTACTTGAATAGCAAGGTTAGCTATTTTCTGCCGTGACAACAGAATCCTTTCCAGGAAATAAAAATTCCAGAACCCATAGAATCTGCCCCCATGGCTTTCTCTGTCAGTAGTCATACGTTGGGCCACCTTGACTTTCTTCCCTGCTTGGAGAATAAAAGGTTCATTTCACTCCTTCATGACTCTCTAGACACATGAGCTGTAATGTGCAGAATTTAGCCAAGAATTACATTTTTTAACATATCTGACAATGGAGAAGATAATCTTTTTATAGTCTTTTCTTCATATTGATTGAGCCAGTGAGGCACAGGAATTTGACAGGCCCTGTGGCAAGATGATGGGGTCCTTGACTATAGTCTTTATGTTGCTGAAGCAAGATATATTTAACTACAGCCTTTATATTGCTGAAGCAAGATATATTTGCAGAGAGGTCCAATCTCATAAAGGTTTAGTAATTCAGGCCAGCTATGGTTGAAAGGTTTGAGTTATATATGATACTTGTGCAAAGACTTAACCTAGTTACTGGTACTTGTACATAGGACAAAGGTATGGTCAGTGGTGCAGTGTTATGTTAGACATGTATCAGCAGGATAAAAAAGCTCAATTATAAGCGCTTATAGATTGGAGTGCTCTTAGTTAAGGGTGACAGATTTCTAAGACACATGGTCCCCAGATGAATTGTATGCTATGATTCAATTTTTAAGCTCAAAACATGATTTTGACTGTATCAAATCATCTTAACTTGTCAAGGTTTATAGGAAGAATGCTTTCATTTAATAAAAGATATGACAATCCTTTGTACATCAAAAGAAATAATTCTGGTGTGCAAATGGCCCTGTGAAACTAGTTCCAAAATAAAGATCACATTTTTAACTCGACCTTCCTAAAACATGTGTTTCATCTCTATAAACTATTGGATTTGGTAAGATACTATTTTTAAAAGTAGCAATAAGTTTTATTTTAAATATATTTGATAGTGACAAGATAAAATCAGATTCTCAGAGAGACCTTACATCAGTTTATTTCACACTTAATATGTAGTAATGTGATCATTAACGTCACTGTTAGATCCTAGTGTTGCAGAATATAAAATATAAGAAGCCTTCAAATAATCTACCAACCAGAACATGGACTCCCAACATTGGATGAAGGAGTGCTATGCAAAACAGGCGGATGCCTTTGAGGACCGAGATTTAAGATATGAAAAAGAAAAATGTAAACTATTCATAACCATCCACTCTGCAAAGGCAAACGTTGACTTAGACACAGACTGCGGTCTCCTCTGACACTGGGTTATAATGCTTTATGAAATAATGAACTCGGAGGCTTTTCTAAAAGCGGCCAATTATCCAACAGCTGGCCTACCATATCATGCCTTGGTTGAAGATCAGAGCGAGGACGTTGCCACTGATGTCAAATTCGGTGTATGAAGGCTAGAAGAGACACAGACGTTCATTGGATTAGTAGCTTAAATGGTAAATATTGAAAGGCTAGTATTTTATGTTTCTGCATAGGTATAGCCAAGCTCTCAACTACTCTCTTGCAGCAATAATAGTAGAGTAATCAATATAATAAATAATTACTAATAAATAAAATTTAAAAGCACCCTTTTTAACATAGTGAATCTGTCATTCAGTGCTATGAAAGTGTGAGACAGTCTCTCATGCACTGCTGGTGAAAGTAAATATTGGAGCAAACTTTTAGAAAAACAATTTGTTAATACATATTAAAAGCTTTAAAAACTTCATTTTCTCTGACACTGTTAAGTCTACTTCTATGAATTGTTTTAACAAAATATTTTAAATGTTTACAAATTTAAACAAGCAGCAAAGAAACCACCTAACTGTCTAACATTGGTGAAATTAATGCTGTATATCTATACTATGACATATAGTACAGCTAATTATAATCACTGTTGGAAGAGTATTTACATACACAAGAGAAAGCAATGTTTTAATGTTAAACAAGAAATATATAAATTATACATTCATTATTTTTACCAACTCAGTATGAAACTGTATAAAGTAATAATTTAAAAGTAATCAGCAAAATTAATATTTATTATACGTGGTGATGGATTATGACTTTCATTTTCTTCCTTAAGTTTTGCCTATTATAAAACACTTTTAAACAAAAAAAAGTGAATTTTTTTTACAATAAAACAAATATAGAGAAATACGACAAAGTTTAAGAAGTTATGCAATTTAGTGTCCAGTATTTGTCTCCTGGATAATAATGCTTAGGGCAGCAGCATGAGGCTATTCTTTGTGCAGAGGGGCCACCAATAGAAACTAAAGCAGGTATTTGTCTCAAGGTGGCCAATTCAAAGGCTTCCTGGTGACACATTAGGCATCCTAGAAGGAAAGCTTCTACCAATGAGATTAACGCTAATTAGCAAGGGCAATAAAATTGGCTTTTACTTCATTTGAAACAGAATAATCAGGCAGGAGACTGACTAATTAATTGGTAACAAGAGAAAAAGAGAACAGCAAAAAGATATGAAGTGAAAAGATCAAGAAATCATGAAAGAGAAATCAAGAGAGGGGCAGGTCTCTATTATTGCCTCAGATTTTCACATCTGCATATGTGACTTTACACCATATGTACCCTCATAACTCCCTCTCTCCAACACACACACACACACACACACACACACACACACACACACATGACCTGAAAATGTCTGTTCTTCGCAAATCCAAAAACCCAAACATATATTTATAAGAAGATAGGACAGGTCTGTGATTTGAAACGCCAATAAAATGATCACAACATTTGAATGCTCGAGACTTCTTAAAACCAACTTCATCACTTTTCCAAAAGGCAGTAGTGCTCTCTGAGTCAATTGGAAGATAAGCGCAATATGCTTTGTTAACAGATTCAGGGAGTAAACAGCAAGGACAGCGTAACAATGGTTAAATAACAAGATAAAAAAAAAAATGATCAAATGATACATAATGAAACATTACGTAGCCCTGTTACATTAGGCAGGACAAAGCTAATATGGATAATTTCAACATAAATTCACTCAAGATACTGCTAAAAGGATATACAAAGTATTTCACTAGTGTGCTCATCACCTAGAAAGGTAACATTCACAAGATGCAAAAAAAAAGATCTGGTTGATAGTTTTTGTCCTAAAATTAACAACGAAAAAAATGTGGCCTTCATGGAGAAAAAAAACGAATTGCTTTTAATCATGAGAAACATTAATTCTGCATCTTTCTCTTTCCAAGAGAGCACTTTGCTCTGGATCATCTATTTTTCTCTCTTGGAGCCCTGTTAACTCACAAAACACATTTGAAAAATGCTCAGCCTGGTGGTCTGCACCATTTGTGGCCTTCGAGCAGCTCTTCTCTGTGTCAGTTTAAGAATCAAAACTTCAACCTTGGCCTCTTTAGAATAGTGTCTGATTTAGCCCACCAAACTACAAAAAATGAAAAAATTCAGCCTTTTAAAAGTACATTCCCTTTATTCTCACAAGCACAAGAACCTTTTAAAGGTCATTTGAGATGAGATATTTTTATTACTATGTGACTAGAAAAGCTCAAAGAACATACTGGGAACCCCCGGCCCTGTTTGCGGCAGGGGCAACTGGAGGAATAAAGCTTTGATGTATAAATTGACCAGATGCATAGAAAGGGTAGAGGGCAGCTCTACTGTACCATGTGTATCTGTGGTACAGATACTTGGGATTCAGACCTGAGTATGAGACTTTGCCCTGCCATTTCCTAGCTGGGTGAACTGGGCCAATCACTAATTTCTTCAGGCCTCAGTTCTCTCACAGATAAATTTATGAAACAGATTAGGGGTTGGCACACTATGACCCATGAGCCAAGTCTGGGCCACCATCTGTTTTTATAAATAAAGTTTTATTAGAATACAGCTACATTTATTTGTTTATGTATTGTCTGTGGCTGTTTGGAGCAAAACAGAAGTTTAATAGTTACAACAGAGACCATATGGCCCACTGAAAAGAAAGTCCCCTTTTTTTCCTCTTCTACTACACTTTACTCACAATACTTCTGACAGAGATGTGTGAGTTTCCCCCACACACCGAGAAATTCCCCAATTCTCTGTGGACATCAACTGGATGTCCTGCAATTTAACTCATATCTGACGCTAACAATGCAGTTAGGGCAGATCTCACAGATTAAGGCTTCAGTCCCACAAGACTGCCCCCACTTCGATACCAACCATAAGTTCAGGTTGTTACCTATGCTAATTGACTAGTTATAAACTGGAGATTCCCATGACTACCTCCTCAGATTTGATAATTTGCTAGAAAGCTTATAAAACTTAGGAAAACAGTTTATTTATTAGATTACCAGTTTATGATAAAAGGATACAGCTCACAAAACAGCCAGATGGAAGAGATGCATAGGGCAAGGTATGTAGGAAGTGGCACAGAGCTTCCATGCTCTCTCTTGATGCACTATCTACCTAGTACACCTTGATGTTTTCAGCCACCACAGAAGCTCTCTGAATACCACAGGTCAGAGATTTTTATGCAGACTTCATCAGCAGGCATGACCAATTATTAATGCAGTCTCCAGTCCTTCTCCCTTACCGGGCGGATAGGGGAATGGAGCTGAAAATGTCAAGCTTCTAATCATAGCTTGGACTTTCTGGTGACCAGGCCCCAACCAGAAATTATCCAGGAGCCCACCAAGAGTTGCCTCATTAGAAAAAAAAATTGTTCCTGTCACCCAAGAAATTACAAGGAATTTAGGAGCTCTGTGTCAGGAACCAGGATCAAAGACCAAATATTAGAACAAAAGATGTTCCTAGCACCCTATCACTTAGGAAAATACAAAGATATTAGGAGCTCTGGCCAGGAGCTGGAAATGAAGACCAAAATATGTATTTCTTATTATATCACAATATCGCACCTGCAGAAGCAAAAACACTAGCCATTTACAGAGGTCTGCCGATTTCTAAACTAAATAATTTCTAAAATCTCTTTTTAATCTAAATTATGTAATTGGTTGAAAATCAGACCCAGTTATTAAAGAATTGCTTCTCCATAAATATCTTAGAAATGAAATTTAATACTGTATGCATTAAACTCAGAAACTCCCACTCTAAACATGAAACAAATGTAAGAAGGCAACCCTCCCTCCCATACCCATATACACACAAACACACACACATACACAGTATAAAATTCAATGCTCATTCTTTTAGAGGTGAATTTTTTTAAACATAAGAGATTATGTTACAGTTTAGATTTCTTAAAAGTAATATGAGTGTAAATTAATTTGCAATATATTTGTTTGATTGCCTCTAAAATCTAAAATGCTTAAAGGTAAATAAATGATGCTTGGGGAAAAAAACATGCTTGGGGCTGAGGTCCATAATAGTCGAGGGATTGGAAATTATTTTGTTTTATATTTGGACCTTTGTTTCTGGTGGATAGGAGTCAGTCATCTACCCAGAGGGAAGACATATGGTACTCATTGGACTAAGAGCCTGGGAAAACCCACTCTCTCTCCACAAGTTTGGTTATTTTGGGCAGATCATCAACCTATGAATATTGTGAAATGCAATTCAGAATCTCAGAGAGAATTCTGTCATTGCAATGACCTTCACACGAATTTCATTTCCCACAGTTGGAACCACTCCACTTAGAGCTTCATGCTGGCCTGGCCTGTGGCTCTAGGGCAATGGTTCTCAAGTGTGGTCTCAGACGAGAAGCAGCAGCTTTGTCTTGGAACTTGATAGTAAAGTATATTATTGGGCTTCACCCCAGATATCTTGAATCAGAAATTCTGTTTTCACATGTCTTCAGGCGATTCTGATGGATGCTTAAATTTAAGAACCACTGATGTAGGACAAATCCTAGCCTCACCTACTGGGATGATTCAGCACCTTGAGGCTTTGTGCTTCAACCTTTGTTGCTGCAGACAGACTCCATCCAACATTCAAGTGGAACTTCAAATCCAGCCCATGCTGTTCCTTTTTCCATTATGTTCTCATCCCTTCATGGGATACCCATGACTTCTTACTGATTCTTTATCATGCCATCTTCCTAGACTGCTAAATAATATCTCATTCCCAGCTGAAGAATGCCAGTTTTAACTTCTAATTCTATATCCCTGCCCTCCCTGCTAACTGCCTGCAAGTGACCTGTCTAGGCCTGGGAGCACCTTAAGATACAAATGCTATAGATTGGCTCATGAATTATTCATGATTTGGCAGAGTCCTTAAAATTTCTAGCATTAAACATTATAGTGAAAATGAACACGAAATCTAGTTGATGGTTTCAAAGTTGACCGCCACATGACTTTGAGCCCTAGTTCCACCACTGACCAGCTATATGTTTTTTTTTAGCAAATAACTATAGTTTATTCATATATGGAATAGCATACAATCATTTAAAAACCACCTCATAAATAAGTTAACAGCATACTGTATATATGATATATATATTTCTATATAAATACTGTATTTATATATGTTTATAAAAATCTAAAATGAATCTATAGTACTTATTTATCTATATATAAATACTAATACTATATGATTCAAAAATCCATATAAGTAATGCCATGAGTGGTGGGATTACCTGTAATTTTTATTTTCATATTTAACTTATTCTGGGTTTTCTAGATTTTCTGTTTTCTGCCTGCATTGCCCATACTTTCCAGCTGCTGGGCCCTGTCTTAACAGCTGTCCCTCCACTGAGAATGTTTTCTTCCATCTCAATCTTTTGAAATTCCTTCAAGGTGGCTCAAATATCTCTTTCTCCATGATGTCTTTGCATTTCTATTGACTGTCACCGGCCCCAAAGTCATATAACAGTTGGTTTCTCCTATAACATTTACATTTTGCTCTGTATTGACCATGGGAGCTTGCAAAATTAAAGAGTAGTAAAAATGTGAGAAACTGGTGAATGAATAAATCTGAAGAGGGCAGTGGTTTTTCAGCTCCAACCAATTTCTCATAAGTGAGAATATGGGTCTAATATTGCCAGGCCTTCTAATATGTCAAGAAAAGCAAGAAATCCATATTTTTTAATGTAAACTTTTCAGTTTTTAAATATTAGCACATTAAAAACAAACAAACCCCTCTGTAGACCAAAGAAAAAAATTATCTAAACTAAATCTAGCCTGCAAGCCCAAGTTTGCAATCTCTCTTTCAGCTTATATCTTTTCCATGTCTGTATCCCCTTATTACCCAGCACAGAGGTTTGCTCAAAAGGTTTTGCACTTAGTAGGCACTCAGCTGCGTACGCTGTCCACTTGGTAGGCCAATGAAAATCGAATCCACATCAAAGATCCATCATCCAACCTTAATATTCTAAAACTTGTTTTGATGCTGAACTTCTCTCTGAAGAGCCTTCCAAAGGTAACATATGGAAGAAAATTCTTTCTCTATGACCTAGAACAGGAACTTGTCTTTTTCCTGTACTTCGTACTAACTCAAGAGCATTGTCAGCACTCAATAAATAATAAATTAGTCATTTAATCACAGCTTTTGTGCATCCAGGTCATGTTGTATTGACTTCGTATTTGAAGCAAAATTTTCTAGCACTTAAGAAGCAAGCAGTAAGGGGCAAAAGGCAAGCACAAGCCAAGCAAAAGTCTAACAACAAAAAAAAATGCCAATTTTTATGTCTGCTTCAGAAGAGCTGAATCAGGTGAAAAAAAATAGAAATGAAACCAAGCCAGCTGAATATCTCATAGCAGGGATGGGAAAGCAATGCCACAACATCCGGGATCTATAGCATTACCTCACTGTCATTTACCAAAGAGCATTACCTAACTGCTTTTGGCTCATCAGAGAAGCACTTTCAGTGTGAGTGATAGAGATGACCTAATAAAAGGTACGATCTCAAAGTAAGATAGCCAGGCAGAGTATCTAGCCTGGAGTCTTGAAAACAGTTCTGTATGTGACCTCTAAGACTAGAGGTCATGAGACAGGAGGAAGATCAGCAGCAAAAGATATCCCTTAACTAGTGAGGAGAGAAACATCATTGTCTCAAGAATACTAAGGCAGAGCTGATTCCATAGGTATATTCCTAGAAGCAAGCTGAATTTTGTCAGTAGATGGTGCTAGAATGTGGAGGTTCAACACTGAATCAACACATAGTGCCTGCCATGTGATGAGCATAGTTCTAACCATAGACGTCAAAGTTTCTGTTTTCAGAGAGCTTTCATTCGAATAGAGGGAGACAGATAACAAGCATGCTTGAAAAAGGAAATGTCAAATAGTTATACATCATATTAAAAAAATAAAACTGTGTTGGAACTGCGAGTGTCTGGTAGGCTATATTAGATTGGATGGTTGGAGAAGAGTTCTGAGGAGATGTATTAGCTGAGTCCTTAATGATAAGGAGAAATCAGCCATGCCAAATTTTAGGAATCTGTATGCCTGGAGGGAGGAACAGCTAGCTCAAATACAAGGACCATCTTGTGTTTGAGCATAAGAAAGAATCCTGACATTTGTGGACTTCACAAAGAAAGAGCAAAAGGTAGGAGATAAGCTCAGAGGGAAAGAAAAAAACAAAAAACAAAAAAAAAGACAGATCACACAGGGTATCGAAGTCCCTAGAAAGGCATTTGGAATTCCTTCTAAATACCCATTAAAGCAATGGACAATTTTAAGCAAATGAGTACTACCAACACCCCAGGTCATATTTCCCAAGATGATTCTGCTGCAATGCTCAAACTTGAAGTGGGGGGAACCTGGGCTTGAGCATAAAGCAAGTGAGCCCATGACGAAGTCAACGCCAGTGGGGTTTAGAGAAATTTGCTAGAATTTAGCTTCGCCACTTGCCAAAGGCCTATCAGCACCTTGGGACTTACTCAAAACTTCCATAGCCCCCTGCTTGTATTTCTGTTGAGCTCTTATTAGACTGTGAGTTTTATGAAGGAAGCATTACATTTATTGAATCCTTTTATCCTCCAATGCACTGCACAGTGAGTGGCCAATGACATGTGTCCAGGAGTTCGTTTATGAGGATGCAAAGGAATTAACAGAATGTGCAGTTGACACTACTCATCCTGCCCTGTTTCTTGAAATGCCAACAAGCTTCATGGGGAGGGAGCTGACTATGGGTCCAAGATTTATTGAGTCCATTTTAATGGGCAGGTAAGATCCGTTGCTTTAGCTAACCTCTGCTAACTCATGAGAATATCATAAGCCATTATACTCAAGTCTGATCCCTTCTGAATTAAAACTGACTCATTGGTCTTCATTTACAGTTGTCTCCCCTTATGCGCAGTTTCACTTTCCATGGTTTCAGTTATCCACAGTCAACTGAAGTTCAAAATACTAAACAGAAAATTTCCAAAAATGAGTTTTAAATAAGTTTTAAATTTCTCACCATTCTAAGTAGTATGATGAAATCTCGCACTATCCTGCTCCATCTCACCAGGGATGTGAATCATCCCTTTGTCCAGCATACACATGCTGTGTACACTTCTTGCCCCTCAGTCATTTAGTAGTAATCTTGGTTGTCAGGTCCACCATCATGATATTGCAGAGCGTGTTTTCAAGTAACTATTATTTTACTCAGTAATGTCTCCAAAGCACAGGCATAGTGATTCATATGTGCCAAAGAGAAGCTGTAAAGTGCTTCCTTTAGGTGAAAAGGTATGTATGCACAGGAAAAAACATTGTATATGTAGAATTCAGTACTATCACAGTTTCAGGCATTCACTGGTGATCTCAGAACATATTCTCTGTGGGCAAAAGTGGACTACCGTATTGACATCTAAAACGACGAACCCGCCCTGTAAATTCTGAAATGTCTTCTTGAATAGCGTGTGTAAACAATGACCCACAAGGGAATAATCTGATAAGAGAAAAATGAATATAATACTTACATATCCATATTCCAAATCCCAACACCAGCAGTAATTGCAAAATCTTACAAAACATGCTCTGAGAAAGTCCCCAATGAGGATTGTAACATAGGTGGTCAAAACATCAGAAACAGTCAGCCGCACAAATTCCTGTTGAGATATTATCTGCATTAAAATTTACATTTCTCTCCTCAAGTGGTCCTAGCGTTGACATCAAATTTTTCATGTTTCTAAATACTATGAGCATAGAAACTGCAATTAATAGTTGAAAAACTAGTTAGGCACATCTAGCAAATAAAGACTGTTTACACCTATTTTATTAGTTGAAAAGTAATTGTTTTCTGTTCCAAAATCACTGTATCTAAAGTATTCTTACTGAGAAACTTTTATTAGCAGGACACATGAACCCCAAATAGAAAAATATTGACCACACAGAAGTTTAAAATTTAATCTGACAAACAGCAATATTTATAAAGTTAAAAGACAAACTTAGAAAAAGCACTTGCAGCATGTAAGATAGCAGTAAGTTTTCCTAACACATTAAAAACTTACTTTTATGACAACAGATGGGTGATTCAATTAGGGAAAAAAATGGCAAATATCATAAATAATAAATCCATAGGAGAAAATATACAGTCAATTAAAACATTCAAAAATACTTAAACTCCACACAATAAAAATGAAAATTAAAACAATGAGTTGTTGCCTCACAGAGTGATAAATATTTAAAAAGCTATGCCTCTCCATATTGGTGAGACAGGCACTGTCATAAACTGATGAGAAAGATAGACTGGCACAATGCGTGGGGGGGAATTTGTGAAGATCCATCACATTTTAAAGTGTGTGGAATTTGATCAAGGAAATTCACTTCTAGAAATGTATTCTATGGCAATATTAACACAAGTACACAAAACCATATGTATAATTATGAAAGTATTGCTTCTCCCAGAAAATAACTGGAAACAATTCAAATATGCTCAGGAGGAGATTAAATAAAACAGGGTGTTTTCACAACAAAATATTGTGATCTTTTAAAAGAAAATGCTACTGTGGTTAGACTCCATCGAATTGTATACTTTAAGTGAGTGGAATAGTATTGCATGTGAATTGAATCTCAATAAAGTTGTTTAAAAAGTGCTGAAATGTTATGCTCTAATAAGAAACAGGTTTTTGAAAATTTTTCAAATCATGATATGTAGTATGAACTCATATATTAACAAAAATCCTGTGTGTATACATATATATACATATATTTATGCATATGTCTAGAAAAGATCTAGAAAATTAGAAACTGGTTAGTGGTGTGAACTTGAATTTATGTGCAAAGCGTGTGCACTGAGAGTTAGAGAAGTTCACTATTTCTTCATGAAACTTGTATGACAATAAGCAATATATATAGAAGAGTAGACATATAATTATAAATTTTTATCATATTTTGCTTCTTCTCTTTCTGTTCATTCCCAAAAATTCATGCCCTAAGAAGAATGACACTGTCTAATAAGACATATTTTGCCAGAAGTATTAATGTTCTTCTATAACTTGAGAAGTTGGTGTTTATTTCCAGTTACCTCTAAAATAACTACAGAGAAAGATTTTTCTCATAGGGCAAAGGGCCATTTCACTGGCAATCATTAGGTTAATTTAGAGCCTCATACTTCAAAGCAGTGTTTTCTGAACCCTGGTAGTCAGGTACCACCTTCATGATTCTTGTCACATCCAAGTTCCATCTGAAATATTCTTTGCCTGATATTACTTTTCATATAATTTATTTTTTAAAAAAATAACCACTATTGTAAATAAAAGATGTATATCGTTTGCCATAAATAGAAGTTAACTATAATATAAATATAATAAAAGCAAAAAATATATATCACACTGAAAATTTAAAAAGATAAATTTTAAAAATTATTGTAGCATTAGTTTCCACCAAAAATATAGCTCCTGTGATGAGAGCTTGTAAGCAGGTAGCATATTTTGGGAGGTGTTGTCAAGGAACTGGAGTGGGGATTGGGAAGAATGAAACAGGGAAAAAAGGATAGGCTTTACTCAAGAATGTGTTAAAAACTGTCACTACTAGAACAATTGGGCCTCGATCCTTCTGGGGACCCTCTTAGTAGCCACACAGACTAAGCTTCAGACTTGTTCATTCAAGAGACAGAAGAGGGAAATATTGATTCACCAGCTCTCATTCCCACTAGTCTAGCATGGCCCTGTGTGGTATTAATGACCAACTTGATGACACAGAGAAGCTCTGGGATAAAAGTAAGAATATAAGTACAGTTCAGTTGAGACACTGTCCAGTAACAGCTGCATGACACTTGTTTGCTGCAGCAATGGCTGGAGTAAAAAGGTGGGCCAAGACAGTGTAAAGTTTCTGTATAATCTGAAACCTTCCTAACTCTCTATTCTTTTTGCATTGCTCTTTCCTCTGTCTTCTCCACTCCAGCCCCATTGGCTTTCTTTCAGACCTCAAACTCCATACTTCTTCAGGCCACAGGACCTTGGCATGTGGTCTTCACTCCATTCAATCATTCTAACCTCACCTCATGACTCGGTTTGTGCCAATAAACATGTATATCAGCGTGGCACTACCATTTAGGGAAGCCTCTCTCACCTCCTGACAAAGGCAAGCTTCCCTATAAGTTCTCAAATTCCATGCATTTTATTCTTATAATGCTTTGTAGCCATTGCAAATTTGCAATTTTGCATAGTTATTTAATTAGAGGCTTTGTTCTCCCCAAAAGATTACAATTTTCACAAGGACAGAGAACTGGTCCACCTGTGCTCCCCGCTATACCTCTAGTATCTAGCACTTAGCATGCACTCAATTAATATGGAACGAATGACTGCGCGATAGTAAATTCACGCAGTTCTTTGTGGCCATAACTTTTCTCTTCCCTACTCTTATTCTCCTTTAATTTCCCAGGCAATATGAGTTCAGATTCTAATAACTAGCATCCATTAGAGGTAGGCTATGAAGGATATTTTTAGGTTTTCAGATTATACAGAAACTTTACACTGTCTTGGCCCACCTTTTTACTCCAGCCATTGCTGCAGCAAACAAGTGTCATGCAGCTGTTACTGGACAGTGCCTCAACTGAACTGTACTTATATTCTTACTTTTATCCCAGAGCTTCTCTGTGTCATCAAGTTGGTCATTAATACCACACAGGGCCATGCTAGACTAGTGGGAATGAGAGCTGGTGAATCAATATTTCCCTCTTCTGTCAGAAAGATTTCCTCAGATACAAGAAAACTTCAGAGCATTTTTGAAGTCTTCCCAATCCTCCTAAGCTTCTTCATCCTAATGGCTGAAATTTTATTTTTCCTAAGCAGTGTCCTAACTTCCACAGACAATAGCAGAAGAAGATTCAAACATTATATTATAATGTTAAAATATTCACATAGCATAGAAGGAACACACTGATTTATAAGAAAGAAAATCCCCAAAATGGTGGCCCAGCCCATCTCAGGGACATCATCCAATCCCAGAGCCAGCATTCTATTCAGGATGGGAGCGAGGTCCCCACACAGCTTCCTGTTAAGCATTGAGCTCCTCGCCTAACACCTTCACACTCGTGACATTTAGTTAAAATGACTGGCCACTTTGATCAGTAAACCTAAGAGCATTGTTTGCAGGGACGCCACAAAGGGCCTCAGTCTGTAGATATTCCATGGCAGGAGTTTGGGGAGTATGCGTTGATGCTAACCATGTTTCAGCACTGTGGACAAGGACACAAACTTTAATTAGATAGGTTAAATATGGGCTCCTGTCATTGACTTCTTTTGAGGTCTTGAGCAAATTGTTTTATCTTTCTACGTCATGATCTCCTCCTCATCTATAAAACGGGGATAATAATATAACTTCTCTCAAAAGGGTAATTTAAAATTCAAAGAGGTAGTTCTTGGCACACTAGAGGCATTCAATAAATTGTTGTTTATCTTTGGCTGTTGGCTGCTTTCTCTCCTTCCCTGAAATACAGACCTCAGTATATAGCTCCAAATAGCTGTCTCCCAAGAACGGCTCTGCTGCCTATCTATCACACACCATAGGAGATGAGACTAAATGACTACATTTTGAGATTCCCTGGAATAATAAAGGAGCCACCAAATTATCTTATATTCAAATTCAAAGGGAGCTTTGAGTCCCACTGTATCCTTGAGGAAAAACAAAGCAGAGGACAGCTATGGAGGAGAAGAGAGAATATGTAGAATGTTCTCACAGAACAATGAATGAAACTTTAGGGGCATGTCTGCAACATTACATGCACAAGAGTTGCCTTTACTAATTCTTCTAGAGCCATTTTTTCTTTAAGTGGCTAAAAGAAATGTTTCCAGGTGTATGGATATAAATATTGATCTCTTAGAAGCCAGAATGTCCCAGCACTCAGGGTTTTTATGTTCCCTGTGTCCTCTTTGTCCCCATGGATTCCACTTCCTTCATCAATATTCTATTCAAAACCATAACCCTTTCCCTCCGGGTGGCTCCTGCAGACTGTCCAAGTGCTGAATGCTCCTTTAGAGAAAGAAGGGTAAAAGCAAAGGGGAAATACTTCAAAGTGCAGTAAGGCAAGATGATGAAGCAAAGAACAGCACTATGCATAGGGGTTTTTTTTTGTCATTGTTGTTAAGAACAAAGCAAGCAGCATGGTCCAGAGGCTCCCAAAAGGAATAATTAAATAAATACTTTTTTCCTTTTTTTTAATTCAGTATGTGTAGGAATATCACAGATGCTTCTGCATAATCAAAAACATAAGTATTCTCCTAGATTGCATTGGCATTCATGTCTAATTAATCATCGCCTCCTCTCCAGAAGCGAACAGCTCCAATCTTATTCTTTACACTGAGTCCTACTGATCTAGTTTAATAGGTATTTGCCTACTAAGGGTAGGTTTCTTGGCCCTGTGCCAGTCTGCATTCTAGGATGTATAGAAGAGAACATCTCAAACTCTTTGAGTTTGTGAAAACTACGTTTCTTGTTTTCTTCATTTCTCTCAACTTCTGCCAAAGATTTAGGGAGCTGCTGAGATATGATGCAACAAACCCATGTTAAACACTATAACCAGACTTTGCTCAAGGAGCCTTGCAACGGAAACCTGTGTACTCCTATGTATTCGTTTCCTGATACCACAAACCTAGTGGCTTAAAATAACACAAATTTATTTTTTTTACAATTCTGGAAGTCTTAAGTTTAAAACCAAGGCACAGGCATCAGGGAGGAATCTGCTCCCTTGTTTATTCCAGCTTTTAAAGGCCGGCTGCATTCCTAGGTTCATGGCCCCCCTCCTCTGTCTGTAAAGCACATCACTCCAACCTCTGGTTCCACTGTCACATCTGGCTTTTCTGACTTTAATTCTTTTGTCCCCCCTGTTATTTCATTAGGCCAACTCACATAATTCAAGATGATTTTCCTATCCCAAGACCCTTTGCTTAATCACATCAGCAAAGTACTTTTTACCATATGGGGTAACATATTAAAAGGTTCCAGAAATCAGGACGTGGACATCTTTGAGGGGCCATTATTCTGTCTTCCACACTATAGGTCTCAGCACCTCTCTACTAAATATAAGCAGCTTTCACTTCATTTCTTTTAATTTAATATTTCATACATGATATGTCCCTGTAAACACATATGAAATGTGCATGTCTGAAAATTTAGTATTTAATAACATGTAATTGAAAAGAAAGGGGTTTAACAGATCCCTGAAAGCTTAAAAAATAAAGTAAAATAAAATCCTTAACTGTATCATACTTTTTGGACTCAGTCATCAATGTTATGTTCTAGCGTTATATATATTTTCCATATTTTTTCCACAATTAAAATCATAGTTGATTGGCTTATATCCATTGAGCATCTGTTTGAAGCTGAGAACATCGAATAACATCCATATTTTAAAAAAAAATATTAGTTTTATAAGACTAATGTTAACTTTCAATTTTCCTTTTATCTTACAAAAATAAATACACAGTAAATATTATTCAAATAATTTCACAATGACCACATTACTGCTGAAACTGTTGCCTAACAGAAGTACTATGACATATTTTATAATGTTTATTCATCCATGATGAACCAAAGTCTAAAATCAGTTTATAAAACGCATATTAGATGTGTCAATTCTAATGAGATAAAATTAAAGGCTTTTTAAAATATAAAATGGGGCTCTGTATAAAAATAAGAGATCCAAAGTAGAATTTTTTTTCCCTTTGGTTTTGCTTCCCTTATTGGACAGAAAGCCATATGAAACACTTTTTCTTTTCTCTAATAAAATACCACTAGTTTTGGACTGTGGCCATGTACACAATCATTATGAAAACAACTAACCTAAAATTTCCTTTAATGCTTAAGAGATGATTATTTGACAAAAATTGACATTATTGAACTTACTATTAGTGTGTGCTCCCAAAGAACCCATTTTTTTTTTTCTAGCAAACATGTAACGCTAAATAGAGTTCAATTTAAATACTCTCTTTGGTCTGTACCTAAATCAAGGTGCTTTATAAAAACACAAATAGGTAGTAAAGATCTCACGCTATTTTGAAATATTCTTCCTTTATATGCAACTGTGAAAGGGTTGTAAGGGTAGAACTTGCCTCAATGGATAGATATGAAGACTACATGAGATAATATATATAAATATTATATTTTATATATAAATATATATAAATTCACAGCTAGCACATGGTAAACAATAAATCTTAGCTATTTTTTTATTAGTAAGCAATAAAGAAAGGTCATACCCATGGAAGAAATATTGATTCTGATCTTTTTTTAATCCATCAATTGTCATGCACTTCTATTTGTGATATTACCTGTCCCACCATTGTTTCCCAGCAAGGTCCTCGAGGTACATCTGCAGGGTGCACAAAAAAGGGTGGCCCAGTACTATTTCCAGTAAGCGATGCATTATACGCCTTGATCATGTTGGCTTCCCATATGGTAATATTGGCCTTTACTAGCTTCTCCTCTTCAATCTAGAAAGCAAAGTGATGGGGAGGGAAATGAAGATGAAACAGACTGCCTTTCTGTCAATCTTGAGATTGGGAATGCTGTAACATGCTGATGGCAAGAAAAATCCAGACACAGGATTTACCTTGTTGTTAATCTCATCCATCAAGGCAAGAATAAATACATACAAGTTGCCTAAAAGAAGGGCAAAAATGCGTCCCAGCAGCCATTTCAGAGCAATGAGGGGATGGTAGTCTTCCAATTCAGCAAATAAGTCAAACAGTGTTGGACAGAACATCCCCAGGAGAGACATGACCATGTTCATCTATGAAGAGACACAAGGGATGAACTAGGTTAATGGTGTTCAGAAATTATTATTGCTTTCTGCCAGAATTTTGTAAGATCCCAGCTTGATTCCTTTGATCTTTTATAAGATTAAAGAAGATTATCTCATGCATTTGAAAAATGCAATCTTAATAAAACATCAAAGACAATATTCAACATTCTCAAAGTGTGCTTGTGTATGAGCTTGTGTATGTGCCAGTAATAACAGTGTTTCCTGGTATAATGAGGGATGCAATTGACATCACTCTTGATCCAAAGAACATGTATTGTTCTACGTGGTAACTGATTCTAATTCTGATATGGTGATGCACTTCACAACAATATTTCCAAAGGAAATGAAAAATGATCTCTTGAGAAATGAGGTACAAACTGGAAATACTAATTTGACTATCATCAGCATATGGGCCAGTTTAATCAGTTAGAATGAATAAATCCCTTGAGGGGGGCTCAAGACTAAATACTGAATTCTGGGAAATACAAACTGTTTGGAGCAAAAAAAAAAAAAAAAAGGAACGGGTTTTATCAAAGAAAACAGAATATTCAGAAAAACAAAAGGAGAACACATAGCGTTGTGTGTGTGTGTGCGAGAAAGAGAGAGAGAGAGAACAAACCAGTAAGAAATGTGTGGTCTTTCTCTCCTGACTGACACCCTTATGATTATATTATTAGGCTAAGTTAAGTCAAAGTAAAGAATCTAGAGCATGTACTACTTTTATGACGAGAAAAAAGCCTTCTTTAAATGAATAGAATTTGGAGGGGTAGGAAATAAGGCAGAGGAGAAAGTGGATTATTGGCAGTTAAGTTGCTAGTGAAAAACAGGGAGAAACCCAGGCTTGCCAAAGTGGAGGAGGCAATTTGAATGTGTTGGTAAGATAAATACAGGAAGCAAGAGCTTTATCATTGCCGATTCAAAGAATTCAGGCAACAATTGGATCTTTCAATGACAGATGCAGGATTTACAGAGAAAGTAACATAAGGTCATGAAAAGAGTGTGGGGTTTGAAATCAAGATTTCTAGGTTTTAACTCTCACTCTTCTCCATGGTTTTGTGACTACGAACACATCACCTAGTCTCATAAGATTCATTATCCCCATCTGTAAAATGTATGGGTTGGAATATGTATATGCTAATATCTCTTCTAACTCTAACTTTCCAGAATGTCCTAAAATGAAAAACAGACAGAGACAGATTTGGAAATTAGGCTGGAATAGAGAGGAAAATGTGGGACAGGGTTGGTTAACCCACAGGACAGGATGGAGGACACAGGTAAAGAGAAGACTTATTTAATATTTCGCCATAGAAGCATAACCCATAAAATTTCAAATGTCAGGTTCTAAACACATAAAAAGCATGCAGAGACGAACTTCATTTTTTTCCCACCACCCAAGGGTGTCAGGATCTTGCTGAGCAAATTCCTGGGATCGCTTCACAGCCCAAAAGATGAGGTATCCACTCCCGGCAAGTGTTAGAAACACGAAGAAGTTAGCAAGAAACCTCAGGAATCTGATCAAGTGGATGTTTTCTTCTACTTGGGCTGCTCTTTCTTCTATTATAGCCTCCTGTACCAACGCAAAACAGAGAAAAAGAAAAATATTTGAGCTATAAAAGTATGAACTCGGCAATTAATTTTGCAAACATCAGATGTAAGGAATGAAAATGTAAACTAAATCTGGATTCCATAAACCAGTGAATATTGCCAGGAAGCGAGAACAAGTGAGAGAAAGAAGGAAAAATTTTTACAAACTCTGATTGATCTACTACTAGGATAGTCTTCATTCTAAATTCAATACCAGTACAGGTTTTTTGTTTGTTTGTTTGTTTTTAAAGCCACACCATAATAGTTTAAAGTCATTTTCAATATTGAGCTAATATTCCTGTAAATAATGAGCACCGTTCTGTTATGTAAAATATCTGATTTTGATTACTAATGGTCTCCTGTTTCAAGACAATGCCATTATTTTATTACCAAATTTGGAGAAGAAATAATGCTGCCATGGGTCAGATATTTCCAGTTATAATCTGAACCCTGCCCAGATCTTGGTAGGCAGATGATGAGTTAATCTTTCTTTTAATTGTCAAGATACTTCGCTAGCTAGACCATACGGACAGGTTTTTTGTTTACTCTTAGTAAAGACTCTTAGTAAAGACTCTTGAAGTTGGCATCTTTACCTTAAAGTTCATTGTGATAGAATTGAATTTATTGTCTGCTGTTTCAGGATTGCCAATCAAGTAGTCCCAGCTAGTGAACACCTTCCAGCTGAAGTTGAAAGTGTTGTCATCACCACCGCCGTCGTCACCAATATTTTTGGTCATCCTGTAAAAATAGGAAGTTTAATCCAGCAACCAGAAAAA